CAAGTCTTCACTAGGGAGAGGCCCAGGGTAAGTTTCGACTTCCCCCGCCAAAAGCAAAAAAGAGCTTATGACCTGCGCACACTCAACGATAATCACAACACAGCACTGTGGGTTCGGCAGCTGAACTAAAAAATAATTACTCAATTTCTTAGCAAGAAAAGCACTTCTGTTACTGACCTGGATGATGAAGGCAAACGGATTAGGCTGTGCATTCGCACAGCTACCGAACCCACAATGCGGCGCGGACAGGGGCGGTTGTTTTGTAGTCGTGGCTGCAGATGATGTCTGTCTTGATGGGGTAGTCCACGTGTGGTCGAGGGTCAAGGTTTGCAGTGCCGGCGCTGTTGCTGAATCCGGAGCGATAGTAGCGGGATTCAAGTTTGAAGTGCCGTTGTGGAAGGGGGCGGGAATTGTTGACGGTCCGATGAAGCCAGGCATGAGAAACAGCAGGAACAACTTAGAAGGCATGGTGAGTACCTGCATGATGAAGGCAAACTGATTCGGCTGCACGTTCGCACAGCTGCCGAGCCCACCCAGGAACTAATGGACTCACCCGCGGCAGCAACTCCCGCGAGCGTGCACGTCAGCCAGCCTCCCCTCTCCTGTGGAACACGTTGACACGCCCACGCATCTGACCTCCTTTTTTTCAGCTTCGCGCCGGGATGGCAGAGATTGTGGCTTTGTTCCTTGTTGTTCGCTGTGGAAGAGCAACAGTGCTATCAGTTTCCGCCGCTAGACACGAGATGGACAATAACAGTGGCAAACGTAAGCGCAAAAAGATAACAATCGAGCAGAAGTCAGCAATGTTGAAAACAGTTGAGTCCCGGATGAAGAAGAAAAAAGTAGCCGAAGATTTCGGCGATGTAGCCAGTGAGGGTGCCACCGGCAATCAGGCGCAGACATCGTGGGATGCTCTCCTTTACGCCGGCGTTGTGCCTGACTGCGACACTTTCTGCACATAGGTGTGGATGCTGATGGGGTGACAACAGAAGAGTTGTCACATGTAGAAATATTGCGTGCGGTGAAGAGGGCGCATGACAATAATGACGAGAATGTGTCAATGTCCCAGAGCCTAATGTTGACAAATCTGACAGACAGACGCCCGCGCAAGTGCTGGCTGCAACAGACCTGCTGCACCGCTTTTTTTGGTGGTTACGATGACGGCGAGGACTGACTCGAAATAGCTGCTGCAGCTCAAAAAGCAGTCATTCACGGGAGGAAGAGTCGGCAAAAGTCTATTAAGGACTGTTTTTCTTCGAAGTGGCCTGCCAGCTGGTGTCCTGTATTAGGCAAAAATAAAGTGCTTTGTTCTTTATTGTTTTGCTAATTTTTTGCCTTCTGACAGCAGTTTCTCTCTGTGCGGCGGGCTGCTGTGATATTCGATGATGAGTACATTCTCTCTTGCTGGCTAATTAACGGTAGAAATAAGTATGGACTTTAACAAACTAATTAAGACTCCCCCTTCAATTTCGTTATAACGAGGTTTGACTGGTTTTCTTTTAATTCTGGGCCGAAAAGGGGGGGAACTTTCACAAATGAATGAAACCAAAACTGAAACAAAAAACATTTCATTTTGACGCCTTGCAACCATCCCTCACTAGTTGCATGCAGCACGTCGCTTTCTTCCTCTTCCTCTTCCAACTTCCTCCACTTGCAACTTTCTCTTCCTCCACCTTTGTCCCCAAAATATGGCCCGACTCATACCGTATCATTCCCCGGTTCACAGATAAAGCCTGCTGGGCGAGCCGAATTATTGGCGTAGTGTGGGATGGAACTGCTTGAGACGAGCTACATGCGCCAACTGTGTTTGGCTTGACCGACGACCAGCTGACGTCAAGCGTGCCACCACGTAGGTCAAGTCACTCAGGCGATTTACGATAACGAATGGACCGACATACTGCGCTAAAAATTTTTGGCATAAGCCATGTTTTCGCTGAGGAGTCCACAACCACATGAGGTCCCCTTTTTCGAATGAAACAGTGTCGTGGTGTTGATCATACCTTTCCTTGGAGCGATCTTGCGATGCCAGTGTGCTAATATGGGCAATTTGGCGGGCTTTTTCAGCTCGGCACAGCGTTTGAGCAACTGAATTGTGGGTATCGAGCTCGAATGAAAGTACAGTAAAAGCTTGTTCATTCGAATTCCACGGGAACGCTGAGCAATTTCAAATTAAACAAAATTCGAAATAATTAAAGTAAACAAAAATGGGTGGATTTCGGGGTGGGGGCACGAGAAATATTTATTGGCCAAAAAAGTCGGCGATGACCATCTGCTTCTTTTCTCTGAATGCCACAGCTGCGGCTCTCTGTTCCAGCGCGCGGACGCGGCGCAGGGAATCCTCTTCACCCTCTTCAAAGCTGAAGAAGAGACGCGCCACATTAAGTGCCTTCATCACAGCAGAAGCTGACGGGCGCACAGACGCTTCATTTTCGTCTTCCTCACCTTCTGGCTCTCCAGCAACAGGCTGCGCACCGGCTACTAGAGCGATAATGTCCTCATCAGTCAGGGCACCACACACCGATGCACCGGTGTCAACTTCAACATAATCGGCAAAACGTACGCTCCGAAGAGTGTCACGCAACGCCGCTGGCATGAGCTCCTCAGCCCCATCCACGTCGACGTCACAACTATCCTGCGCACTTCCATCTGCAAATCCACTGTGGCTGAAACAGTTTGCGATTAAGGTTGCGGTCACCTGTTTCCATGCGCGCACCAACATGTGCATGGCAGTGAGCAGCGTAATGCTGAAGTCCTTCCTGTCGCCCGCGCACAAAATCATTCTCTCCAGCACGTGACGCCTATAAAAGCGTTCCTTATCACACCCTGGTCCATTGGCTGTAGGGCCGCAGTCGTATTTGCCGGAAGGAACACCAACGTAGTTGCTCTCAGCTCAACGTCGACTTTGTGCGCCGAACAGTTGTCGACGACAAGAAGAACGCGTCTGCCGCCCAGTTCCATTCGCCTGTCGAATTTCAGTAGCCACTTCCTGAATAGGTCACCTGTCATCCAGGCTTTCTTGTTTGTGGCGTACTCCGTCCGCAGTGAGCGAATGTTTTTGAAGCACCGTGGCTCGAGTGCTTTGCCAATCACAAAAAGGGGGACCTTTTCCGTACCGGTCATATTTGCGGCGACCAGAACAGTGACACGCTCTTTGCTGCGCTTGCCGCCGGCACAGCTGTCTCCCTTGTAGGTGATCGTCTTGTCTGGCTGCAACTTGAAAAATAACGCTGTCTCGTCAGCGTTGAACACATCCTGTGGTGAGTAGCTCTCCAAGTACTGCTGCAGGGTGTAGCTTCTCTAAGTAGCGCATGTTTCGGCGTCCACTTCCTTTGCCTCGCCGGATAACGTGCGGAATACAAGATTGTGCCGCTTCCTGAAACGATGAAACGATCCCTCGGAGGCGACAAAGTCTTCAATGTCCAAGCGCAGGGCGAAATCGGCTGCCTTGGCCACAATGATAGGGCCGCTCAATGCGATACTCTGGGCTCTCATTTCTTTAAACCAGATAATCAAAGCTGACTCCAGTTCCGGGAACTTCGCTGTCCTTAGCCTTTTTCGACTGGCGCCAAAATCCTCGACTTCATAGGCGTTTTCAATGGCCGTCTTGTTGCGTATGTAGGTTGACAACATGCTCGGAGGTATGCCGTGCTTCCTCGCAATTTCGTATTTGCTCGAGTTTCCTTGGTAAACCTTTCGCAAAATCTCCACCTTCTTCTTGACAGTCTTCGCGGAGTAGTTTCCTCGCGGCATCTTGAAACTTCGATGCGGAAAAAGACGGCTTGACGACGTGAACGAACATCGTGCTCGAGGAACAAAGTGACGCTGCCGGGAGCGGCCTAGGACTGCTAGGACTACTCCGCCGACTCTTCAGCGTCCCGTGGGTCCCGCGTGCAAGTGGCGCCAGGCGCTGAGATAGCAGGAGAGCTACGAAAAAAAAAAAATTGCTCCCTAAATTTTGGAGGCCATACTTTGCTCGCCCTTCGCTCGGAGGCCACTTGAAGCTAAAAAAAACTGGTCGTGCCACCTATTGTTCGACCGTAAAAGCTTCCACTAGTGTTAAACATGGCGATGATGACGCTCAGCGGCGCGCGCTTCGAATTATCCGTAGAGGCAGCAATTTCTGTTCGAATTAACGAATCGTTTTACACATGGTCTCCTATGCACTGCGGGCCGGACTGCGGTGACCATTTCGAATTATCTAAAATTTCGAATTAATGAGGTGTGAATTAACGAGCTTTCACTGTATATACTTAGACCGGACTGGTTGATGTATCAACTTGTGCCTCAAAGAGCATCGAAATTCATTGAATGGAACCATCCTACCAAGCCTCACCTTGCCAGTTGTACCTTTATAAGAGCACTGACACAACTTTGAAGAATCGCAAGATGGGCATGTTTAGTTTCGTTGGTACACACTGGAGCCAGACAATATGTATAAAATATGTTATGTACTGTGATTTTAAAGCTTTTATCATTCAGCCTTTGTAAGCCAGCCTCACGGCAATGAAGTCGGATGTATTCACTGGGTTTGCCTGCAGCCCGAATCACAAAAATTGGTGTGGTAGTCACTGGATGGATGGATGTCTTCATTGTTTATGTTCACGATTTCCAACCGAGAAAGCTGCTGCAAGTACTTCAAGAGATGTTGTTTTCCTCTAACATCTGATTGTGTTTAGTCGTCACTGCAAGATGGCCTCTCAACATCCAAACTGAAAGTCCTATTTTAAGGTAGTGGTATTAAAAAAACATATTCACTGCATTTGCAGGCACTACGATATTCTTCTTAGGGATCTGAGCACCAGTGTTTTATTTAGAACAATAATCCGAAACAATTTAAAATTTGTGTCAGTTATCCTTCAATGCATTACTCAAACTCAAACTTTTGGTGTCACAACACCCTAAGAAGTGCAGCCCTTCAAGGGCTAAAATCTGCCACCAGGGAAGCCTGGTGCGGTAGCTGACCAAGTTATTGAATTTGTCTTACTTGTTTCTGGGTGCAGACTTGATGGTGCAGACGCAGAACTTGCTCCGCATCGCGGAAGAGGACCGCATTCGTTTCATTGGCATGCAGGCCAACCACATGGCTATCCTAAACATCAGCAGTGGTGCCAATAAAGATCCACGCCTTGTCTTCACCCTCATGAAGGCGGTAAGCAACTCCTTCTTTCAGGGAGCAGGCCTTTTCATTGTGCTGCACGAACGGGAAGCTGTTCTCAAGAGAGTCGTGTCTAGGAAGGAAAGAAGTGCTATGCCACAGCACGCGATGCATAGGTTTACATTAATTAAACTTTAATTTCACCCTGTCTGAAGGTTGCAGCTGGCAGACACGCGTTATTTCAGTGGCATTGTGCTTTCGGTATTTCAGTCCAAAGATTTTGTTAACTCGGACGGTTGTCATCAACCGTCACTGCAGTGTCTGTCTTGGCAGGTTACAGTTGTGGTGCACTGAATAAACATAATTGCTATACAAGTGCACTATGTATAAATTCAATACTGCCACATAAATCAGTGCTGTTTTGTTAATATTGCATGTAGTTTTATTTAACTCAGGAGATATCAACAATTTTATCAGTTTCCTAGAAATCATATTGTAGTTTGTGGTTACCGACCCTGGAATGAGGACCTCTTGTAGGATGTGCCCTTCAGAAGTTCCTGCAGTTCGGCATCCGTAGTCTGAGCCTCAGCTAGGAGATTTGCTGTTATGTGCACCAAGCTAATGGTGACTACACGTGAAAGCGCGTCTGTGACCGTGTCACTCCTGCTGACATGTTGGATGTCGGTGGTGAACTCTGTGATGAACGAGAGTTGGTTCTGCTGAACAGGTGGGAGTTTTTTGCGACGTTGAGAGAAGGCGTAAGTAAGAGGCTTGTGATTGGTGTAGATGTTGCAGTTCTGTGCTTCAAGAGGTACCACCTAAGTCTTGAAGTGTTTCATATTGCTACCTGCGTTTTGCATTTTCCCTTTTTTTTCAGTTTTTGCCCGCAAAGCCTGGGTCAGAAATGATCAGTGTAAATTGCGCACTATGGTTCAAGAAGGTTCACGATCATTGCTGATCGGTCTGTTAAGATTGCCTGCTGGATGCGAACACTCGAGATTATTCTAGAGCTTGCGCGAAGGCCAGTGATAAGACTGGAATACAGTCGAGCGCACATATAAACAGCCTCGCTTAAAACGAACTTTCGCTTAAGATGAGCAATATCCGCGTGACCGTGAAATATACATTGGTTCAATGGCACAAAATCGCACTTACGACGAACGTCTCCGAGCGCCACTGATCGGTTACAGCGAACAGAGTCAGCGGTCTGCCGACTTCTCGGGAAATCAATTTCGACCACCGATCAGGCATCGGCGAGGTGCCCATACATTCTTATTGTTAAATGCCGACCCTGCCTCCGCGCCCCTCTAGTTGCCGCTCTCCCCGACCGCTTTTTGTTACGCACCCCTCCGTCCTTTGCCCCCCTGCTACTCTCAGCACCCCGCATTGACAGACGAGGCCCGTGTTTTCACACTGCCACCGATCTTTCGAAGACCGGTCGGCCATCTACCCCGTTCTTGATCGCTGGTACTGTCGACGTTGCCAACCTAGAGTGACCAGACCATTGGCCAACATCGTCGGCCACCGACTGTATCCGATAGCCTGCGTCTAGGGCACGCGCATACGCTACCCCACCGACTCTGATAATTTGCGATTCGTTTCGTGTTTAGGACTTGTTCTCGCTTACTTCGCACTCAGCTCAGCATGCCTTCCGGGCACGTGTGAAAGCGCGAAAACGGCCGTTAATTTGCGCGGAACGAATTGCGAAATATCGAAGTTCGTGAGGCCACGCAAACCTGCCGACGCAACAAAACGATTTTTGACCATGGCCGCCGATTCTTCGAACACTGCTGCGCGCACCGATCCAGGCGGCCATGCACTTTTTCCAAGTTTTTTCTACATGCGTGTTTCGCGGACCTTTCAAGCAAGCCACCCAACCTGCCTCCTTCTCGTGTGTTTTGGTTTTCAAGGTCGCCCTCCCGCTGCATCCTCCCTCTTTATCGCAACTCCTTGCCCTTCTCTCGCAAGTCTGCTCTCCTCTCTTGATCACAACCCCTTCGCCCGTCTACAGTGGCTAGAATAGGCACTGTAGCCCGTCTCCACCGCTCTGCGACGCCCGCCACGCTGGCTCGAATTAGTTTCGTTTTCTGACTGGAAACGGGCCCAGAGCTGTTCCATGCGCTCTGGCATGTGTGTCGCGTGTGCGGGTCTTGTTCGCTCTTGGTGTGCATGTGTGGTCACGATGGCTGATGGGAGGACTAGCACAAAGCCGCTCAACAAAATGTCGAAAGTGTGACCGCTTGGCTTGAGCGTAATCCGCGCGTTAGGGGCCACGTTGCGGAGCGCTTGCTCATAGCTGTTGACCACCTGGCAGCCAACTTGCTGCTTCGGGCGTCCTGGTATGCAGCTGTAGAGATAGTGAATATTTCGTGGGCGGCGGTGATGGCTAGATGCGCGCGAAACTGTTTTCGGGAGGCCGACTTTGTCGACGTCGGACCCGATGCGGAGCCTGAAGCTTTCGAACAGGACCACTGCGGCGGTGATTTGTGGCAGCGTGTCCTCAACTCCGACTTGGGAGAGCGGGTGGGACATCTGTTGCGATGGTTTAATTACAGCCGATGATGATGCAGACACTGCGGAACTGTGCGCAGATTAGGGCATTGTGAATGAAGTACGTGGCGAGAGCGATTTGGAGGAATCAGATTGCGAGAACGATGAAACTTAGGAGTCAGTGCCTCGGTGAACGAGCGCCCTGCCGTTTTAAATGAACTCAAGACCGCCCTTATCGCTTCTGCTATTCGAAACACGTGCATCACGGACTTTTGGGGGCATAAAAATTTTGTGTTTTCACGCACACTTTTTTTCAAAAGCTGTGTTTCATTTACTACGAACTTCGGGATGCAGCGAACGGATGCTGCGTCACGCTCAGGTTCGTTAGAAGCGGGCTCGACTGTATTCGTGTATAAATGCCGCTGCGCTTCGCCGCTTGTTAGTTGGTCACTAGCCGATGCTCTGTTCGCCGCTATCAGCCCGTATATGTTGCTGTAATTTGACCTTCAGTTTTCTGGCCACAAGTTTCGCCAATTAAACAGTTTTCATGTGTGAGGTCTCGATGTGGCGAGAGCCAGGCTCTTGGAGTGACGAACACAGTAGACACAGTCGAAACGAAGCAAACACACAATTATTTAACTGCTTTTAGAATGACGAATTATTACATCAATTGCGATCAACATGCTAAACAACCTTAGACAATATTACACAACACTCAACAACATGATAAACACAAGGTGGGGTCGCTAACGCCTGACTCACCACAAGGGCCCCCAGCAGACGGCCCACGATGCCATGCACCTGGGTCCCACCGCGAGAGACAACCGTTTGCGCCAACCGTCGCCCGTCAAAAAAAAAGAAAGCCGCTAATCCCTCTCGTGTCGCCACCATGGCTTGCCGTCAAGCATCACTGCCGGCGCCAGCACTCGAACCATGAAGATGATATAACAACCGCTCGCGAGCACAGCTCCACCTACCTACCGCTCGTTAGTTGTGACCTCTGAATGCGGCTTCTGCTCAAGACATGTGCACCACAAGGCGCAAACAGCTTTTCAGGGGGGTGTTAGCGCCCCCACATCCCCCCAACCTTAATACAAACCATATCCTGAAAAAACAAACATGAAAGAAATAAGCTAGACAAGCTCTCACAAAAGATGGCAACACATGTCCTAAAGAATGTCCGTGCACGACGACACCACTGCCGATCGACACTGCTACACTGTTCGGCTCGATGACTTCACCCCAGTACCGGTCCCGCTACGGCAACGTTGCCGTCAGCATGAAAAGCTGTCACTCAAGCCGCCACAACTTGTGGTTGCGATCAGCACTCACGACGGCGCCAAACTGCAGGCAGTTGCGCAGGTCTTAGGCATGTTCATCATCCGATGTCTCAACTGCATTCCTGGCCAACAGCAAAGACGACGTCCAGAAGACAGCCAGCTGGGGTTACATCACTCCTGCTGCGTACATTCAAAAGACTCAAAAGAACAATGCAGTAAGTCAAAGGGAAGGGAGCTTCCGGCTCCTCGCCCACGTGGTACGATGGTCAGTACTGCTAGCTAATACATTGGCGCCAACCGAGACGCTCAGCTAAAATAAATACAAAGGCCGCTTTTCCTAACCCGTGCATCGCAAGATGAACAAAAGTGAGGGAAGCAAAGTGCAATACCTCAACACCATGATCCACCTAGTTGTGCCACATGCGACAAATGGCTGTGCAGAGATTTAGGCTTAATGAGTCGCTTGACAACACCCGGCATCCACCCAGCCTAGGTGAGAAGAGGCAGCCATAAGGAGACATCCACTCTGTAAGGTGGCCCTACTCGCTCGCCACACACAGCCGCTTACCGAGCCATCGGCGTCCACCGTCCCGGACGGTGTCATAACGCTCTGCGTCCAGCTGCAAGACAAGACAGCAACGAAGCCAGATTCCGGAAGCCCAAAAAGATAGAAGAAGCTATTTACAGAAAATCGGACCATCCACAAGGCTTCCGTACTCACTCGCTTCGGGCTTGGCCTACAGTCTACGTGCCTTGCTCACACCAGGATGCAGACCGCATGGCTCCCGTACCAAGTGAACAACGTTCTTAAAAGCTGACCTCAAAAAAAAAAAAAAAAAAAAAACTTGAGAGCAGAAAAAAAAAACTTAGGGCCGACAAGTTCACACATGTCACAGCAAACAATCGACCTCCTCGCTCTCAACAAAGCACACCGCTGACGCTAGCAACGCAAGTCCCCCTAGGCCTACTCTTCCCTGGCTCAAACAAAAGCTTTCACCGAACTGCGAAAACTGTTGTCCGATGCTCCAAGAGCCCCACATTGGGCAGCCAGTGTGGGGTCTCAAAGTAGAGAGAGCACTATGCTCTTGGAGTGTACGGACACAGTAGACACAAACAGAATGAACCAAAACAAACACATTTATTTAACTACTTTTTGATCGATGATATCATCAACCAAATAATTATACATCAATTGTGATCAACACCCTAAACAACCTCACACAATATTACAAAACCCTCAACAATTTTACAAACACAAGGCAGTGTCGCTAATGCTTCACTCAC